CCTACCCGATGGGAGTTCCATGACGGTCGTGAACATCCTAGCGAAAACGTAGGGAGATTTCAGGACAACCGAGAGAAACATCATGTACAATCAGCTGAGGAGCAACAGGGACGCATTAGGTATTGACTTTAATATTCCGCGAAATGCTATCTATCATACATTAATATTGTTTATTCTGGTTTCAGAAAACAACGTACAGCCAAAGACGATCTTCATCTTAGTTTTCATAACTCTAGAACTAATCTTATTAATGACCGCGACGTATACATGGAAGACTTAGTTGAAAATCGAGATATAGTGGATGACATTACCCGAAACCGAGAAATTAAACAATTGGACTATGCGCAAAGACAGCGCTGTGAAACCGAAACCCACCAAATTGACGACGACTCTATGCGTAGACACGAAATAGATCGCGGTAGCGACATGGACTTCCCCGTTGCCCAAAACAGTATGAAGAGCAAACGCGAACTGTTTATAAAAGAAGGAAACGTGGAAATTCTTCAACTGATGACTAGAGATAAAATTCACGATGGTGCTGCACTAGACGATGACAACATATATGTAAACGTGCCACTAAAGCCCTTAGGAAACCTTTCACATCCACAGCTTCTAATGGTGGACAATACGGGTAAAGAGATTCTTATGCGGAGATTTATTGAAGAGCAACCAGATGGAAAGCAGATAATTCGAGAGCACTATCAAATAGTACCAGGAGCAACCTACATTCAATCCATGCCGAATGAAGTACAACAAGCCTCAAATTTAAAAGTCGATACGTATCCATTAGTAAAATCAGGGCCCAACAGTATTGTTTATTCTCAAATGGAACCGGAAGTAAAGGTCATACATACACAGCCAGAGCATGCTGTTGAAGCTAGTTCAAAGATGCGGCCTGCAATATCGAATCACTCTCTTACCCAGGAGCTGGAACAGTCTCTTAAGCAACAGAATTCCCTGCTGCGACAGATACTGCTCGAAAAGGACAAATTGGAGTCCGGCTATACACAGGAAGTGGCATTAGAAACACAGAGTCTGCCTGGTCAGTCGATGGCTATAGGTACGCAGACTGACTGTGATGCCGGGACGCAAACTGATACAGTTGCAAGCCATATCGCGCACACATCCGTCAGTTCACAAGCACATATGAAAACCAAGTCGTCGCAACGTCGTGCTCGAAGCGAAAATGACGAGTCCATGTCTGAGGATGGCTATGAATATGTGCGGTTTATTCCACCAAATAGCCCTGAAGGTACGTTCTGGATCAAGCGTCGTAGGACGAAAAAGCGCCGAAAACAGCCACGTAAAAGGATCGTGATGGTGGAGGAGGTAAAACGTAAAATCCGCACACCTATTAAAGAGGAAGAAGAGCTGCACGAGCGGAAGAGTCGAGTCCCACCAAAGAAACCAATGCGGGAGACCAAGACAAGTATACTGCGGAAACAGCTAAGCGACGAAAGCCGCAAAACTGACGCCACTTCCAATGGAGAATCGAAGGCAAGCGCGCATCTGAAATCAGATGTACTTATAGAGGTAACGGACTCATTCGACGAAAATAAAAGTACCAGAAACCACAGCACACGAAAGATTCTAGTTGATAAATATTACAAACATTCCGATGGGGAATTCGACGATGGCGAATTCGACGAAGGCGACGATACAGAGTATTCTTTTGACTCAGATGGAGATGAAATCGTAATCAGAACAAGTGCTGTAGTACCTTCACGAGGGCAAAAAAGCGATAAATTTGTAATGGAACCAAAAGAGAAACGAAACTATTCATTTTCTCCAGAAAATATGGGAGGCATAAAGCAGCAAAAGTATCCCCGTACACAGACACCAGTGGAGACAGTCCAGGAGGCACAATTAAATTCAATTCCGAGATTATCAAGAAGAGACAGCAAGAAGCGGGACAATAATCCCAGAAGACAAACCTCATCGGAGCCCCCGCACAACCGACTATCCGTTTCTAAGTTCGATTCGATAGCTATTGAAGACGATAATACTCCCCCAGCAGCCACATCATTGATTGATCGAAGCTATCAAAGTGAAGCCGAGTTAGGAAATCTTGAGGGGGCAAGAGAACGCAATGTGCCCAAGTATATGGAGTGGTACTACAATAAAAAAAAATCGTCTCTAAGCGGCCGTACCTCGACGGAGTCATCGAAATCTCAACCCACGAACAAAAAAAAGGGTGGTTCATCAGAAAAACGCGTTACAAAGACGCGTATCACCATCCAGAACCAAGATAGTGATTTCCATGATGATGGTGGAAAATATAAACCTGAGCCGGCTCCACGCAGATCCGCGCCGAAAGGCAGTCGTTTGCTTAAGGAGGACAGAGCTTTAAATAAGCAGCATAGACCAAAAAAAGAGACTTACACAAATCATCCACTACTGCAGCACTCTGAACATAGGTTTGAGCGTGAAAGTGCAATAGAAGTTCCAGCACAGCCTACCAAACTGCCCCACTACATGTACCCAGAAACTCCTCCGTATGCAGCAACAGCTTCAGACAAGGAGCTCTCAGCTCAAAGACAGCAGCCTAAGCCGTCCCCGATTAAAGAAAACGAAGTTAAAGTGACGAACTCGAAAATAAATCTTCTTAAACAAGGTCGTAGCCTCGCACATCAGACATCATCGCATGCACAAAAACAGTTAAATGCTTCGACGCTCGAGGATGACCATGATTCAGGCATAGCTATGAACTCCCTTTTGAACAGCCTGGGTCGTCGCAATCCGATTGCCGAAAAGAAAAGCGTATTCTCCATTGCCTACGACGATGTAAGTCGGGTCAAAAAGATTCCCTCAGGTGGCGAGTCGCCACAATACTCGTAATTCGAGCTCTGCGAATCGTTTAATGTAGCAATCAAATGTGATAGCCTCAAAGGCTCCTTACCTACAAATCATCGAACTAATACTAAATGCAATACTTGTTCACTACACAACAAATGCATACATTTGTTACCACATTCGTAGTCTATAGAATGTTAAAAATTATAAACTCGTTTTAGTTCAACGGAAATACATCCAGATCCGTATTACTTAGTCGCTTTCAGTACAATCATAAGAAAATAATTTTAGTAAAATGTTTTATTTAAGATAACTAACTATAGTAAAAGCTTGGAAAGTACCGTCCAAATGAATTCCATGTACATACTTATAGGCATATATTTTAAGGCATAATACTAATTAACTTTGACCATTAACTCATTGTAATTATAATACTTCATTCGTCGTTTATACCCTTGCAGAGGGTATTAAACATATTATAGAAGACAACTAAAGCTGCCATATTAAAAATTTCTTTCTGAAAGAATTTTATTTTTACCAACAAAACGGTATAAACTGTAGTTTCATGTGTAAATATAACTCTGCCAAATTTGATTATAGACGGATCAGTATGATGCAAACCTATCACAGCAATGATCGGTCAATAATTTTGTAAATTTTGTGAGAACCAAATTTCAGTTATATTAGTTACACATGTACATATGTATATTGCTTATTACGATGATCAATCGATAGCACATTTGGGCCAACATTTAAATAATTGACATTTAGGGCTTTCATCGCACTGGTTACAACTATAACGAGGGGGAACGTTGTGAGTTGCTGCTACGGCCGCGACTTCCTTCTATCCGTCTTGTTTGACGCCTAGTTCTCAGACTCTATAAGAGCTAGAGTAATGAAATTTTGAATCCAGACTCCTACAATGTCACACTGTATCAGGCTTGTTTTAAAATTTTGCCACTACCTTTTCCGTTCCATAAAGGACAAAAATCGATGGCACTCATAATTTTGAAGATACAAGAAAACCAAAAACAGAGAATAACCATATATAGCAGACTGCAGAATCTGAATCAGATCTGATTATTATTATAGACAAAATAAACATAATAATAAGAGTGGCTACGCAACGCCTTCCACGAGCTTACTCATTCTCTCTCTCCCTAAAACACTCTTCCCCTTGAAGTGTGTGCCTCTGGAGGAGGGAAGCCATACTGACAGAGTATCAGATATAAATATAGAGCCGCGGCCCTATCTGCGGATCACAACGTTCACCCTCCGGCTGGTTTTATTCATAGAATAGCACCATTTCCAATTTTCTTTACGTCGCGGCACACACGCACCTAAATACATACATATGTATGTAATTTTATGAGTGAGAGAATTTATACATTCATGAGGGCTCTGATTTTTACTTAATAAAAAACTTGCCGAATTTTGTTTGAAAACGGAAAATTTCTGCTCCCATTTTAAAACGGAAAGTTTTTCCTCATCGAAATTAAAAGTAAAGGGCTTTTTATACAACATAAAAATATACATATATGACTGAAAATATATGACTTGTTGATGCTTTGACATATATTTACACCATTCACAGGGCAATTTAGCTTCAGCCATTTTTATACCCGATACTCAAAATGAGTATTGGGGTTATATTAGATTAGATTATATTAGATATTTGTCTCTGAAATAATGGCTCAATGCAATAACAATTGGCGTTTTCATGCTAACAGCTGTATCGATATATCGGAATAAAGGCTCTGTAACACATTACAGAGGATTTTGAGTGCGTAATACCACTAACCATACAGTATACATACATACATACTGTATGGTTATACATACATGCATACTGTATGGTTAGTGCTAGAACATACTATATTGTGCGATTAGCACGAGATCAGAAAATTAAACATATCGATGACAAAATTTTGCGAGAACGGTAGAACCAAAAAACGAAAACGAAACGTTTTGACTGACAGCCCAAAGTTGCGTGAATATATTCTTGCCAGCGTTTCTTAGTTTCCATTGGTACGCTACTGAACGCAAAAATATCTACGAATCTGATTCGGCTGCTATAAAACATTCGATTGCTTGGCGTGCTATCGATATATTCCATACAATGTTGCAGCAACATTTTGGGTGTGTTTTAAGCAGCATGTTCCTAAGGGGAATCTTATCTTGTATCTTTCTAAATGCAGCTAACAAGTTCCTTGTCAATCTAATACAGACGCCTGTTTAAAACTCACCGAAAAATGTGCAAGTGCCTCGCCGGTAACGTAGCGTGTTGGTAAGTAACATACATATATACTGTACATGTTTGTAAAAAAAATTGCGTCTTTGTGAGTGAAATTAATATGTATCTGCAAATGTATTTATCTACTGCTGCATATAGATATACAGAAAGATACAGATACACAAAAGAAAAGGTCTGTAGAAAGTGTGTTGAAAGAAAAAGATCAATTGTGTTTTCGAGTAACTTGGATATGCAAGTAAGAACCATTCTGACAAACATTCATACATGCATATGTACATATGTATGTACATATATGTTTAATGTATAGAGGTACATATAACTATGGAGATATAAACAACCAGTATCTAAATATCAGACTGTGTATTTTCAAATTCTTTGTTGAATTATCCGCAGAAACAAAAAAGTCTTACTCTAAGGGACTTGTGTTTTGGCCAATCGTATGATAAAATTATGCGATCTTGGTTATTCAAACATCCATATTTACGCACATATGTACAAACATATTTATCTATATATGTACATACATACATCCAAATGTAAATGTGAATACGTATATGGACTGTGCAAAGCAAGATTGCTTCAAACTGGAGGGACAGAACTGATCATATCATGAATACCTATGTAGGTGTACACAAGTACATTTAAAGAAATATGTATACTGTGTGGTATTGGGGATGTTTAGTATTCTCGGTTTAATTCTTAAAAATTAAAAACATCATTGTCGAATTTACTGACAGCTCTCAACAACGCTTACTATTACAAAATGTAACTTAAATTTTGTCACACTTGTCGTAACCCCAGAATGGCGCTCTGTTGTCTTTTCTGACAAAAATAAATTTTATTTCGAAGCGCCAAAAGGCTAAACTCGATGCTCAAAGAGTATAGAAGTATATTAGTTTTGAATGTGTATAACACCCATAAAGAAGCGTTTCCAGCCCCCTAGACTATATACATATCAATATATTTATTCTTAAACAGCCTCAATAGCCGAATTATTCTGTATACATACATATGTAACTATTGCTGTCCCCAAAAATGAGCATAAATTGGACCGACTAACATACTCTAGTATGGGAGCTGCGCTTGGGGTCTTTAAACTTGAACAATATCTCCAATTCGGATGGATTTGGAAACTTTGTTACAGACCGACAGGCAGACAGGGCTCAATCGACTCGGATATTGATGCTGATCAAGAATATACATATGTATATACTTTATGGGGTCGGAAACGTTTCCTTCTGGACGTTACACAAATCCATTTACACCACAAATCTAATGACTCATATGGCTCCAAGCTGCCTGGCTCCAGACTGTCTCGACTCCAGACTGTCTCGACTCCAGACGTTCTTGTCCTTGGCTCCGCCTAGACGGAATGAAATCATTGTTTAGTTTTCTAGGCATATGATGCTCCCCAGAACTCGACACTGTGTTGGCAATGGCCAGTTTCACATTTCCCAGTGCAGCAGAACTCGGGGGTGAAAATTTCATTTGATAAAATTTTGTACGCAATTACAATAATGTATTACGTCATACATTCATACATATGTAGGTAAATATTTATATTCTCAAAAAGAAAACCCTTATTTAATATGACAGACCGGTACTTTATTTTACTTATTGCAATTTATCAGGACTATACTAGTATATTTTCACATGCTCAAACTAGCAGTACTGTTAATAAGAATCGCGATCTGACCCTGTACTCAGTTTCTATTTACATATCTACATACATACATATGTATTTAACTTTATGAAATGAGTCCAAGCACGCTAATAAATAGTGGGGGTGCCGGAATGAAAGTGGAGTATTTTTTCGAGTACTAGTCCCAATGGGAGACAGCTAACGGTGGGGAAAGTATCCTTCTCTTAGATTAAATAGATGGCATATGCCGGTCATAAAAACCTACCCCGTACTGGTAAGCCACACTGGGAGATAAAGAGGGCGCTTCCGAGTAAAATTGGAAATAGGTTTCTTCACTCTAACTATAAAATTGATCCAAATAATGAACCAATTTACAAAATTAAAAATGAAATAAATTACAAATCCTATTACTTTAGTTCTTATATTCTTTGAGATCCCGACCTCAATGATATTGAGACTGATCAAGAATACCTATATATGTACGTAGGCATATGGGGTCGAAAAACAAGCCTGTATTATCTCTTAAATAAATTTACAAGAATTTGTTACATGTATTATATAAATATGCCTGAATTATAGTATATATATTTTTTTGTCTGCATCTTGTGTCTGCTCTAGGGGAGCACCCTCCCTCCCTTTTCCTTCTAGCACGCAAAGAGAGCCCCACCACCAACAAATGTGAAATACACAAACAGTTTTGCGTATTTCACTTTATCTGTATCTGCGCTATCCAGCAAGCACTTTCATAAAAAAATACTTCTATGTATGGCGAATACTTTATACATACATATATAGATAGGTATACGTGTGTGTACATAATAACGACACTATGAAACCCCACATTTCCACTTTGAACCGAACTGACGTTTTTGAAAATTGGGCCTTTAAAATAGTTAAATCATTTTTTTTTAATTTTTTAAATCTGATATTTGTGTACGGTTTTTTCAGAGGTAGTGCTTTTCTCAAATAGCATAAGTATCTGGTTGCATTGAACTTTGCTTTGAAGCCTAAAAAAAACCCTTCTATTTGGTTTGCCTAGTGTTAGAGATGTTTTTAAACCATCCAGAGGCCTCAATTAGAGTGACAGATTCGGCATGGTCACCCCGCTGCCCAGGTCGTCGAAGGCGATTCCTCCGAGTATACGATGTCGCCTTCCCAGAAGGTTGGGACTTTGCAGAGGTTGTGCGGGGAACTCCCCATTTCTTACTAGTTGGAAAGTTCAATGCACTATCTCGCGTACGAATCTGCCTGTGGCCTTGCCGGATTTAGAGATGCAGTGAGTTTGATCCCAGTTATCTTACATTTACGTAAGAATAACACCAGTTCGGCTTTCTGAGGGTTCTGATCGGTTCTGCCGATTTAATGATTATTCAAAATGAAGATTCCAGAAGTTTACTGATTGTTGGCAGGAACTTGCCCATTACCAGTGTCACTAGGTCGTCCCCGTAGGCCGTGACCTTGTATCCACTGGTCCTCAGCTGAGCTGAGAGAGTAGAAGGTCATTGAGGAACTGATTCCACCGAAGTGGGGATGTAAGTCCTCCCTGTGGAGTACCTCTTGTGGCCTTTTTCCGTGATGGTGAGATACCTAAGTTAGCATTTATCGTTCTGTTCCTAAGTACGCTTTTCAGCCATCTGGATACCACCGAGCCACTGCTTCGGCTCCCTTGTACTACTTGATGGTCTTCATGGCGGTAGTTGACGTTGGAGATCTATCCTTCACGACTTGTAGCCTGCCAGCCACGTTCGTTGGTTCTTCGCAGCGTCCGCCTTTATCTTCTGCACTGAATCAGCAGCTAGTAGACCTGAAGAGCCCTGGATACCTCAAGGGGATGCTTAAGCGGATGGACGTTATGCTACCCGACTTTTAAAGAATCCCATACATCATAGCATCTTCTGTTGGCAATCATGCCGCATGGAGGATTTACAAAATTTGATTTAGAACGCTCCACTGTGCTAATCCACTTCTCACATAGAAAATTATAGGGATAATAGGGCCCTAACACCATACAGCGCAGTGTGTATGTACAGTCAAATCGTGAGTTTGGCGGGCACGGAGTATTATTTATAAATAACTTGTATATATATAGTTGTATTTCTTTGTCGTTTCAGCTGCTTTAATTGCGCCCTTAGTGTGCTAATATCAATCATCAGTACATTTCTAATCGTTTTCATTGTGGTCGGCTTGGTTGTGTACTTTGTTTACTACCACGAAAAGGAGGATGATGTCTCTAAACTCAAAGACACGGTCACCGATAACTTCCAGTCAGGCATTGACAAAATAAAAAATGTTCTAAGCAAGACATAAGCTTGCGTATAAAAATAAGTGGTAAATATTTTGATTTGTATTTAATCAGTGGCTCACACAATTTACGAATATGCAATTTTTTTCTAGAATATGCCACCAACCACCTACTGAAGCGAAAAGCCGAAAACCAAAATGATGATAATCAAGCATTTCCAGTACCAGTACAAATAAACAGTTCACCATTTCATTGGTCCCGAATCTCTATATACAATCATGTTCCAATAGATATATATATATATATGTAAAACACAACTATTTATACCCTTTTAAATACAGAAAAATTAAATTCAAATCAAATGGTGTAAAATAAAACGAAGTCTTTCTGTGTATCCTTGAAGGTCGACCATAACTCGAACTGTGAGATAAGTAAATGAATTGAGTAACTTATGAGTAGGCTATTTTAAAGCAGATTCAATCCTGCGTCATCAAACCAGGGAAAACAGGAAAGACTGCTAAAAAGTTAAATTAAAAAAAAAAAATACAATAAAAAGACCCTCGAATATCTATTCAGTCACCTTTAGTAACATTGCATGGAAGAACGACTTCCAGTTATGAAAATTAATAACACGAATGATATAACAAAATAAATCCAAATCTAGAAACGCTTGTAAATCAGTAATTCTTAAAATATTTTCCAAAAAATATGAATAGCTCAGCTTATGCTAAATTCTTGTATTATTATTAGAAGGCCTTATTGCATTTCGACCATATATTAATTTTGTTACCCTAGGATTATATTGAAGATCATTGTACGTTCAGGATTATAATAAGTTTAAACACTTTGGTAACCCATTCCTCACCAAATGTTAAGATCTCTCTCTATAGAGACCAGGGCATTCACATACAATACGATGTATTCCGAGCGTTGCATGTTTGAGAGACCTTTGTCACACTATTGAAAGCATTGTATTCAGTTCAACTCTTCTCGAAGTACAAATACGAATTTTATAAGAAGTTTCGGATTCGTAGACTAAGCTACAAAAGTTTTTAGAATTAATTGACTCTGCATCAGAAAACTTTCTTATGCACTGTGCATGGGACACTGTATTCCTGTCAGTACCTCTGTTCCATATAGATCTCACAAGAAATGACCAGTCCCCTGGTCCATCAAGCTAGAGCTCAAGACCTTGTTATAGCTAGATTTAACCGTAGGTCGCCCTGTATCGGGAGCCACGCCGTTAAAAGACACACTTACTTAGTTCCTTCATCCCACAACCAATTTATGTGGTAACACCTAAGATTAGGGGTTTTTCAGAGCATGTCTTAAGCTCGGCCATATTACGACTAGAGCAGGGGGCACCTCGAGCAGGATGTGGCTCTTTACTACATATGGTAACTTCTTATTTTTTCAAAGTAGAAACTATATTTACTTATCGTAGATAGGTATTATATTAAGCTTTTAACAATATGTAAAAAATGTAAGATAAGTGGGTTTATTGTGAAATGAAAATTAATTATTCCCAAACAGACGGTGGCATAGGTATTTTGACATTTTATAAAATGTAAAAAAAAAAACAAAAACGAATGGAACGAACTAACTTTTTATGATGAATCAGCAAAATATATATCCTCCCTTTGCCTCTATCACCTTTTGCAGACGTCTCGGAACTGACTCCAACTCGGAACTAAGCTGTGGATATAAGCCAGCAGAATTTCTCTCCAGAGTGATTTCACCTCTCAGATTTTATTCTCACGGTTCCTTGTCAAATTTGGAGTCCGGTTTCTTTTTATATAAGACCAGAGATTCTCGATAATGTTTAAGTCTGGGCTCTGGGGCGGCTAGTCCAAAGTATTAACCCCAATGTCCTTAAAGAATTGGGTAAGGACTTTAGCTTTATGACACGGGGCGTTGTCCTGTTGGAAGGCAAATGACTCCCCAATAAAATTCTCTCCAGAGGAGAAAGGGTGATTGTTTAGCACTTCCAAATATTTGTCTTTATTCGTGCTACCATCAACAGGAACTAAATTTCGCAAGCCATTGTAGGCGACGCATCCATAAAACATTATGGTCCCACCTCCATGGATCGCTCTTACTCATATAGGTGCCACTTTTTTGCGACGTTCTTTTAGGTTTCTTACGAAAACTTTTTTGAATAAATAAAATAAAATAATAAAATTTTTGGCAAACTCAAGGCGCTTTAACTTATTGCGCTGTGTTATTTGCAGTATAGCTCTAGTAATATATGTTCCAAAATCAGTTTCCTTAAGACGTCTACGTATTGTCCGTTCGCTGACATCAAAATTTCCTGTTCCCTTCAAGTCATTGGCAACCGATCGAGGAGTTTTTAAGACATCCTGCTTAAATTGCCGCAAACTAAAAGAGTCTACCTTGGCAGTTGTTTTTCGTGGTCTGTCACAACGTGTAGCGTTTTTTGCAGTGTTGTTTTTTTTTAATTTGTTTTTTTGATAGCAGATTGTCTGACGTGAAATATACTATAATCTACTGATATTTTGTACTGAAATACCAGAGTTGAACTTCACTATTATTTAATTTTTAAGAGATTCACTGAATTCCTTTCGGTTACACATATTTCACAAATTATTGAACGAAAACTATTTTTATCAGCATTTACAATCTCTAAACTGAGATTATCCGTAATAATGGTTTCGCTTTCTATCAAAAGCAGATCAATGCAAATTAATTGAAGTTCTGACAAAACACTTTTGCCCAGCCAAGATCAGATTACGAATGAGAATAAGAAGCATGTTAAGAAAACGCAAAATGCAACTACGAAGATTATTACGAATTTATGTACTTAGCGGTAAGTCAGATAAGAGAGCTGTAACACGTAGCAATCCGTCAAAATTCAAAGCTAAACGTTGCGTAGAGTTTGTCAAAATACTTATGCCGACGTGTGTATGTACGAATGCATATAACTTATTAATTGATTTATTGTTTAGGGTTCCATTTTGACACCAATTTTTTCGGCCCATTCACTTGAATGATACCAAGATAAAATAAGTCATTCAGCAGAACACCCGAAGCGTTCTCTTACGCAATATTCGTGGATAGCATAGCGAAGGCAGAAAACATTTACACTTTCGTTGACTTTGGGTTCGCGGTTCTATTCGTGTTAATCATATGTAGGCGCGCGACTCCAAGTGTGAACAAGTTTATTGAAATACATAGCTAATTAAGAGACAAAGGGTTCTCTGCAAATTTTTCTCTTTTCAGGCCAGATTGTTGGAACGAGTCGTAAAGTTGAACAATAGCCAACAATGAATATGTTCTTGAAAACATACATAAATATAAACGGACAAACATACTGATGTATTAAATACTTCAGAGACGGTCCACATTTTGAATCGACTAAAATTTACATAAGTTAAAAGAATATCAAAAGATAGCATTCGACCAAGTTTGCATTTTTTTCTAGAGATTTGCGATGGAAATTTCTCAATGGACATGATATAACGGTTCTAGTGAATCTAGATTAATGAAAGTGATTTAAACAAAGTATTCATAAAACGTAATGACCCCATATGGTATAAAAGTGATAGATTAAGCAGGGAAAGGTAGCAGATGCGTTTTAACCATGAAGCTGTTCACAACGGTTTTCTGCCTAAGTAAGTGATTCACCGATAGACACCCAGCTCATCCAGCTCTAACAAAACAAACCAAAAATACTTAATTTCCAGGCTTGGCCTTCAGCCTGGCCAGTGCAAAGAAAGTGGTTCAAGAGACCGGAAGACTCATCACGATCCAATCCCCAGCACCGGCACCGGCACCACCTCCACAGCAGAGTGTTATTTATAAGCTTCCTCCGCAGCATTATTACCCGCCGCCCCCACAGCACTGCAACTGTCCGCCTGGCCCGCCCGGACCCCCAGGGCCTCCAGGGGCGCAAGGGCCTGCTGGCCAACCAGGTGCAAAAGGTCATAAAGGTGAAAAAGGTGATCGAGGGGAAAAGGGGGAGAAAGGGCACTATGGAATGCCGGGACCTCCAGGACTACCAGGGCCAATAGGACCACCTGGCCCTAGCAAGTACCGTGGCGACCATGAACATCACCATCACCACCACCCACCGCCAGGACCTCCTCCTCCCCCTCCTCCCCCACCACCGCCGCCACCGCCGCCACCACCACATCACCATCACCACCCACATCCCCCAATAATACCGCCGCCACCAATAATAATTCCCATTCCGTCACTGCCACTGCCACCGCCTCACAAAGGAGGCCATCATCATCACCACAAGGGATCTAAAGGACCCCCTGGACCCCCAGGGCCCCCAGGTGAGCTACTGAAAGCACACTGAAGTGCATACATAATTACTTAGAAGAGAAAACATGAGAATTAAGTAGCTCGAGATACCTTTACTCTCTGGAAAATCCAATCAGGCTTTTATATAGTCACATTATCAGTTAGAAATTGTATCGTCTATGCAATTATTTTCTTAATTTGTTCAAGTACTAATAATATTTAATCTCGTATTATCTACAGGAACGGGACCGCCTGGACCTCCAGGACCTCCAGGAAATTCCCATCATCATCATCCACATCCTCACCCCCCCCAACCACCACCGCCGCCACCGTATCCATACCCACCGACGGTACCATACCCTACACCACCGCAAATTCCATGGTTTCCAGTTCCTGTACCAGTACCCTGGCCCTCAAAGGGTCACAAAGGTGACAAAGGGCATTATCACCATTATCCTCCATCGGATGGTCACCACAAGGGTGGACATCATCATAACAACCACAACAAAGGTGATCATCATCATCATCATCATCATCCACCTTCCCATTGGCCACATTATCCCCACAAGGGAGGACATAACGGTCAACACCCTCCCCCGCCGTATGGAGGTGGACACAAGGGTGATCCACACGATCCACAGCATGGAGGGCACAAAGGTGGCCCACACGATCCACAGCATGGAGGGCACAAAGGTGGCCCACACGATCCACAGCATGGAGGGCACAAGGGAGATCATCACCACTCTTCTTACCCGCCGAACAATCACCACAACCCCGGAAATGGAGGACATAATCATAACCATCCTAATTCACCATCTCACCCGCAACCTGATCCACACAATCCTTATCACGGAGAATCCCATGAGCATCATCATCATAACAACCTTGTAGGTCCCGATCAGGACCACAACGGAGGTGAAGAACAATTCCCGCGTGATGGTCTGGATGTAGATGCTGAAGTAGAGGTAGAGGAAGAGGAAGAGGGCGTTGAGAACATTATTGACGAAAGTATTCAGGACTCTGCTGAGACCGAAGAATCTATGCACGTCGAACCGACTGAATTTCAACAGTATTCCGAGAATACTAGCTATATCAGTTATGAAAACAATACACTGGACATAAACGATGGAGCTGCCTCTATGGAGGAAGGAATGGAAGAGATTAGTGAGGATGAAAACGGAAGTGCACCAAACAATGTTGAAACAGACGGAGACGATGAGGTGTTAGTAGAGAATCAAATAGAGATTGAAAACTTGAATGACGATAACCAGTCTTCAGAGACTGATCCTGTGCAGGAGCGAGCCAACAAACGACCAATTATCTTAGCTATTGGAACCCCACGAAATCCATTTCACCTGTACGCATATGATCACTACAACTCATGAGCCACCAGACAAGACGAAGGTTACCGAAAATAAATATTATAACTGAAATTAACACATGAAAAATTTCCGTGCCTTGAATTTCTACCATATTTGAGGTGTATTTTGGTCAAAAATACTTAGATCAGCTAAATTTAACTTTTATTGATGAAGGAAGGACCCCGCATTGCCAATGCTAAAATCCTTCGTTGCAGGACGAATTTCGTTGGGGTCGTCCAAAATCATTTGCTCTGCCATAAAATATCGCCGCCATAAATATGCTGTCCTCGAATGAGATAGAGATAGAGACATCCTTGGGCATTGGCATAACTTCCAACTGTCACTGTTACCTTAAGTCATACTGCAGCCGTGAAAGAGGGGCTTAATAGTCCCAGCTTTCCCCGCTGAAATCACATACAGAATGTAACTCTGGATCGTGCATAGTTGATCCGTCGTCAGCAGGGACTCAGAATATCAACATTGTAGTATTGCGAGGGATGGTACAGTCATCTGCTGGGCTGTTTCGGAGTTCAGTAGAGCGACCTCCATGCTTTCCGCTGGCCTCAGCATAGCCCTCATCCTCTTCAGTGCCTTTCCATCGACCTCATCCGTTTTCAAACAGTGTGGTTTTTGGAATCTCTTTCCTCGGTTCCATAGGTGTCGCTGTGGACTTTTGGCCTCCTCCTTGGGAGTTTCCGTCTCTAGAAGAAACCGAAGTCATTTCCTAGCAGCCCCGCAAACAGCGCGCTGAAACAGACCGACGGACAGACAGAGACCGCAATATTTTGTGCGTTACAAATTTCTGCCAAATGTTAATATACCTTCAAGAGTATGCAAGCATTCAGAGCTTCAAAACTATCAGAAAAAGGAGGTGCAATGAATTCATAAAAAAAATTAATTTAATATACATATTTCTTTACTATTTGAGTACCAGTCCTCGTAAAAAATGGTTGATATGTATTGTAAAATGTAGAATGGAAATATTGATGGCATATTCTTTGCCTGGAGTTTACAAATGAGAACAATCGTGAAGGCAATATTTAATAAAATCGATATATTAAAAACCATTTTGAAGCCATCGACTCGATGAAATTGTACCAGGCTCTCATAATATGATGGTATGCTTCCTGTACGAATCCATGTGCATGTGCCGCCGATTCCTGCCAATCGTTCAGCGACTTCGATTTGGACCCGATTGTATGTATGTATACTCTTATTGGGTCTGTCTGTGTTTTGAAGCGGACTTCTCTAGAACCTGCGCACTGACCATAATATGTATTTTGTAATCCGAACTCTCTCAGGTCTCAGTGTAACATAATAAGGAACAGAAAAAAAAAGTGAGAGCACAAGAGAGCTTTTTCTTCTTTCACCTGACACTTATAATAGCTGGTATGACAGGGATGGTTTTATTTAATTTCAAATTTAACCTATCCCAATACAGTAGACACTGTCGTTTTTGTGTTCTCAGCGCCTGGTAAGAGCTCAACTAAGTTTTCTTCATGACAAAGTCACACTACTTATCACGCAATATGGAACTTATATGGAACGATTATTATTATTGTATATTCGGATTATTGTATTATAATTAAAATGCATTTTTTTTAGAATTGTGTACAACTGGTTAAACCTGTCGTAAAATGTATATTTATATTATATTTTGTTAACCTTTGCGAAGGAATAGTGTTTTAAGCTGAGTTTTGCAAAAAACCTTCTCAACCCCCAGAGTTTTTGTAAAGAAAACTTTCAAAATTGTTTATGATTCCTTAATTGAAGAAAAAACATTGAATGTTATATTTTCCCATTGCATGAAGAAATTAGATATGTGGAGTTAGCTTTAAAGCTGCTTATTAGGTTGCCCTTGCGCTTATAGTCTCTGAGAACTAGGTGTTAAAAAGACGGACAGACACTCACTTTTGCATTCGAAAGATTCATATTTCCCAGGTGGAAATTCTTAATCAACTTTTCCCACGTATTGTGAAGCTCTAACTATTGTACAACCATGCCGCAATAAATGTTTCTAACTTAAAAAAATTTTCTTTAAAATATAATTAATTTCATGATTAATGACGGGAATATGAGGCGGCGCATATTAAGACATTAAAATGTCTTCTTCCCGATATTATCCACATTTGAAAGGATAGTTGGGCGCGAATGTAGTCTACCCATGGATAGAACAACTAACCATATAGTATATAGATGTGCCAGTGCATACTTCGAAAGCGTCACACGTCGAACTCCCAGAACTACATAGGTCCTAGGGACTCTTTTCGTTTTCTTTGTGATTTCTGATCTAATTTCTGGACAATTGCCTCCAGCATATTTGAATGTATGGGTACACAAGCAATCTCACCAGAACCAAAATTTGAGTTTGTAAATTGTAAATATGAAATGAAGATTAATAACCTACTAGATGGGTATCCCATTTCACTACCTACCAGATGGGTACCCATTTCACTAGCTTCTAGACGACTACCCATATCACTAGTTCGGGGGTAAACGATGTGGTGTCGCTGGTCCCCATGTCGTAGGACATTGCGGGTAAAAATGGAAATGATGAAAAGCATTGTTAAGAGTTAGTAAAGAAAGTACCCCTGGTCTGATAGGGAGTGGTGATATCACCACTTCCGAACCAGTTCCCAATACTGCTGGGAGAAAACAGAAATTAGCATCAGCATCAGATCTCTAAAAACGAAAAAAGCATACAACACACATGTTTTTTTGGAAACATATTGCGTGTGTACTAACACATGCAAAGAGGTTCTCTCTGCGCTCTCTCATGATGACGCGTCAGCACCCGAACGCCAGAGCCGAAGTGTCTGGGGTATTCGAACTGGTAACCCAGCGTGTGACACTTTCTGGTATGAACTGGCAAATCTATATACTGTATACCATATACAACGAACTAGAGCAAAATTCGAATTATTTACATGTCTTTCTCACAAGATTCCGTGATGTTCGTATATCCATCATATGCATACATACATACATTCCATACAGTTGCGCGCCCTTTAAGAATATTTAACCCGTTCTATCGGACAATTCTACGATAGTGCCATCGATGGTTTTGCAGCCCTAATGACCAGCTGCTCTAAATTCATCACAAGACATTTCGAAAAATTTTTAAACAAATTCGACAAAAAAGCTAATATTGTAAAAAAAGTATAGACAGAAGACTGAATTTATTGTTCCTTCTTATTGGGATCCGTACTATTTTAATGGCACAATCTCGAATGGTAGTGAATGACGACTATGAACACCCAGATTATCTAGAATATATTCTAGAATCCGTTCTGATGCCCAGTGATGAAAGCTTAGATTTCAATCTGTTAAGGAACGATTACAACTCTGTGCTTTTACACAAATGTCAATGCGATAAAGGCGGTTGTGCAAATAACGAAAGATGCTTACACGGAGGTGCTTATGAGTACTGTCCAGATGGAAAAGAATTGATTCAAAGGCAGACTAACGAAAAAGGCAATATCCCAATTGTGGAGTGCAATTCCTTCTGTGAGTGTCGGATAGATTTTTGCACTAATCGACTTGTGCAGTACGGTCCAAGAGCAAATTTGGAAGTATTTAATTCTCCGACTTACAAATCAAAAGGTGTCCGCACGAAAGTAAGCATTCCTTGTGGTGCCTTCATCTGCGAATATGCAGGGGAAATTCTAACTATTTCTGAGGCCAAACGACGCATAGTTACCAACAAAAAACTGGGATCAATGAATTATGTGTTAATACTCAACGAATACACTAAGACCGATGACTGCTATAAAGATAAACGACAAGTCACCATTATAGATCCTTCTCGACGTGGAAATATTGGACGCTATATTAACCACAGCTGTGACCCCAATTGTCAGATAACAGCGGTACGAATAGATTGTCCCATACCAAAAATATGTGAGTTTTATTAACTTTGTACAAGTTACCGGAACATTGTCGTTTTATATATTTATATGTATGTACATATGTACATTTTTAAAGGTGTTTTCGCAGCACGCAACATTCTTGCTCAAGAAGAACTGTGCTTTCATTACGGTGGAGAAGATCGATACGTAGAAGATCAAGCAAGTGATAGCAAGGCTTGCCTCTGCACTGCTGATAGTTGTGCTGGTTTTATGCCAAATTCTGAAATAATATAGATTATTAAGAGATAATATTTAAAAAAATTCACCGACTTACCCCTCACAGTTTATTTTGTACATTGTTTTCAAGCGGAGGTAGCTTTTCAAGTATCCAAGACTCAAGGTCAAGAAGCGACGATTTTTTCAGTTCATGAAGTGTATTTTTCATTGGTTGGAATGTACCATTGACTCCTAATATTTGAAGAGATTTAAAAGTCTCCAGGCCCCACTCAAGCGGTACTAAGGTATCGCCCTCACCATGAAACATTCGGAGCTCTGGAAGATGGTGATGTGAGCGCGACTGCAGGGATTCATAAACGATGGAGCTACGATTGAGAAAAGAAGAGTGGGCAAAGACACCCGCAAGTCCAGCATTCAAATGGTAGCCCGTATGCAAGGCTAACGCACCGCCCATTGAAAAACCGCCCACAATGATGCGGCTAGTTGGTATGCCTGCTGAAACCTCTTCTTCGATAAGTTGATGAACGATTTCGTAACACTGGGACATGCTCCTTTTACTTTCCTGTGCCGCAATGTTGACCGAGCGTCGATCGAACCAAACATTGGACTCCTGGCCGTTTAACGGCGTATACTTTTGCATTGGTGCTGTTGGATATACGATTTTTATGTGCGGGTATTCTAAATTCCGACCCAACAAAAAGCGAACCCATTCCAGTATCCCCGGACCAGTGTCACCGGAGCCATGGAAAAATATTACGGATGCGCTCTGTTTGCTCGTTGCATTTATCGTCGTTAAGGCGGGTCTCATCTTTACTTCGGGGCTATAGATCAAACAACAAATAATAATAATAATAAATTTGTGTGGCCCTCAGACATATACCGAAATATACATCACAAATTTTAAAATATACCGTAAATATACTGACATTATTATTTGTATGAGAGTTCCATTATATTCCTCGTTTTTGATATTCGGTTTAATATTATTAGCTAGCTAGAACCCTCATCTCTTAAAACATAATTTTATCTTATTGATGAATCAATTTCATACAAGACTGTTTATCTTTATGTCCTCATTGTTTATAAAATATGTTTGAAGCGTTATGCTGCGTCTTAAAATATACTGGAAAATAATCAAATATACGGTCAGACCCTCAGATATTCTCTTTTCAAAATGTACCTTAAATATACCGAAGGAAACGAAACAGGATAAAAACGTGTTTTGCGTGGTTCATGAACGAACAAAAAATAACTATTATATTGAACGAACTGAATAAGTTCACTTTAACCCATTGCCGAATAGAAAATACACATAAAATTATATGGAATATTACACCTGGTATTTTTCTAAGCAGTTTATAAAAATTCTATGGGATTTCACTTATTGTCGTTTGTCCATCGTCCTCCTCCAGCATAAAAAAAGCAGTTTTAAATGAAGACTTAAGCATAATTAATTTGTAAGAAAAACACAAGTAAACGCAAATATGAGTAACAACTGCCAGAACGCAAAATGCCCTTTAAGGAGCTGCTTTAATTGCGCAAAAAGTGAGCAAAAGAGAACAAGTGAGCAAAAAGAATAAGTGAGCTAAAAAGAACAGTTTGGATGGAACATGTTCAGTTGCTCACTTAAGTAAACAACTTTTTTTTGTTCACTCACCCATGAGCAACACAACACTATTCTGGATACTAATACTATACCTAAAGCTCCGTTAAGATAGTAAAATCCTTTGTTTTTGTAGAAAATATATAGACTTTTTATGCTTTTGCGCTTCCGCTGCTCCAAACATTGCTAGTCATAATTATTGTCATTTTTCCTTTTTTTAAGAAGTTGTTTTGTTGTTTACAAAATGGTACAAAATATTATTTTTGTGTGTGATTGGAGGTTTCTCGTTGTGAGTTTGGTTTAAGTTTTGGTTCATTTTGCAGCCCTATAAAAACACATGTAAGTTGATGTTTTCCAACACCTTTCAGCCTGTTTACACTTAATATTTTAATGGAAATTGTGAGTGGCAGGTGCGAATTTATGAATTTATATTCATAAACATTGTGAGTGGATTTAATGTGAACAAATGAAGTAGAAAACTTGGTTTAAACGGTGCATTCCATACTGGAACAACCTAAAAGAGACCTGAAAAGTTTATTGATGAAACTACAGAAACAAAAGGCTGTGTGTCATTCATACTCATCAGCATGTGTGTACCAATCTAATGCAAAAGTTTACTTGCCAGAACTTATATTTAACCGACAGCTGTTGAGTAGACGGCAATACAATTCATTTATATAAAACCAAAGTTCAACAGTACCCTTCCAAACACGCGCTGATTACGTTATTTGTATATCACCTACACCAATGCATACCAATGCATGTATATTTATGTATATGTATGGTTGAGTTTGAACGAGTTTTGCCTCCTCACAATGATTCGGCAGTAATTCACACTGTTTTTCCCTTTATCATTGCCTAATAAACATACATACACTGCATACACATATATGTACAATTGAATATAAAAGTATGATTATAGTGGAAGTTGTAACGATTAAAAGATAAACAACTAAAATAAATACATATGTACATACCTATTCCGCATCAAGGGGTTTCCCGTACTCCTGACATCCAAATTTACAGTCAGTCCTGGTTTTCCTTTTAATTTGAACATGAATACATATATGCACATACATACATACATATGGACTTGTGAAGACCTGTAGGGTTTTTCTTAGCTTGAAAAGTAAGGAATAGGAATAGGAAAGATTGCTAATGACAAACATGTTTGTACAGTTACATATACATATGTATATCTAGGATTCCACCAACAATGGTGTTATTTTATACTATTCCATGTACTGACATACATATATCAGAGGGATATTCAAATAGACTTCTGGTAAAATTAGTCAGTAAAAAAATTCGTCAGTTGTAAAAGTATCGTATAAAATAAGAAATATCAGAATTGATATCGTTCCTTCTGGAATTCAGACCTAACACAGTTCATTCATAGCAAGAATTCTTATCTCATTGTAGTGAAAATGAGTTTTTATGAGCACACATATGCATTTTTCGAAAAGAACAATACACCTGAAAGTCACCGAGCAACTCATGTAAGCATGATAATGCTTTTAGTAAATCTGGTAGATAACTTAGGTTTGTTTTCATAAAGAGAGCCCCTCACTAGGTGAACGGACTTCCACAAATCAGTTGACTTACTCTCCCTCTGCGTGTCGTACGCATTTTCGCGAATCAAATAATTTCGCTAGCGTGGGGCTCTCGTTTTCAAACAGCTAAGCTGAACGATAATAGCCTCAGCGTACTCGGAGTTAGGTTTCTTCACTTTCAGTTAAATTTCTGACACCTAATCAGTGACCAATATGCATATTGTGTGGCTTACTTAAGTCGATTTTATATACGTATCTGTGATCACTCGTATTAGAGGATCTACTGTCTTAGGCAATATATCGTGACAGTTCCTCAAGTGTTTGAAAAAGAGTCTCGTCATCCCTATCAGTGCCAAATGCAAATGCAGTATGAAAACTGTATACCCGACCGTTTTCCGGCCCAGATGACCTCCCCGATGCATAATATGTGCACCCGTCAACCAGAAGGTTCGTTTCTTAGGATTTCTATACTACACTGCTGAGTAATTTTTCTCGCGCTGTTTTTGGTAAAAAAAAAAAAAAAAACTGAGCATGACTCTTCAAATCACGAATCAAGCTCTCTTACCTACAGTCTAAAACCGTCGCAATGATTGGCAAAAATGTTCCAACAAATTCTTGATTGTGTACAGTGGAGACCCAAAAAGTAGAACTGCACCTGCTTTTATCATGAAATTAAGCTTTTGCAATTTGAATTATTACGTGTGTTTTTTCTGTGGATATTCATTAGCAATTATCTTCTAAAAGTCGACAGTAGGATGTTGCTTAGCAGATAACTGCAAAACTAGTTTGCGTTTAATATCAAAAAAACGGCTAGTAATATTATGTGTGTGTTTTGTTTGGTCACGTAAGAAGAAACAAAAAACAATGCGGTTTTGCGGTATGTGATGGTTATCTGTTTGCGAAGGTTATCCGACCCGTATCATCAGGATAATGTAGCAATAACCCCTGACCAATCTAGGTAAAAAAGTATTCTTATTTAAAAATGGGAAGATTTCTAAAAAGTATCATCTTGTACTGTACGCCAATTTAAACAAGATAAGATAACATGTACATCCATACATACATTTGTATGCAGCTTTAGCTTATTAGCTATGTATATGTATGTGTGTACTATACAGTCAACCAACTCATAGGGCACGACATAGAGCCTTGCCTGAATATTATTGTGAATGAATTTGGTTTTACCGCTCTAATATTGGTCCTCTGGTTTTCAGAGACTGAGATGAACAACCATTCCGAACGTTGTTCCATCTCAACCGCATGCGGACGGTTCGAGTCGGTCTCCCCCATAGATGACCACGATGCAACGGACGATGACATGACATTTTGCATGTCAAACTACGCCAAGGAAGCTCTAAAGATGATGTTCATGATGCGCTCACACGGCATGCTCACAGATGTCGTGCTGGAGGTAAAAAAGGAGCTCTTTCCCGCCCACAAAGTAGTGTTGTCCGCAGCATCGCCTTATTTCAAAGCTATGTTTACTGGTGGTCTGAAGGAGTCAGAGATGTCGCGCGTGCAGCTTCAGGGGGTAAGCTAATATCAACGGTTAACCTCAATTTGTTGGTTTAATAGATGAACAGTTTGCCCCTTTCGTTTTTGTAGGTTTGTCCCACAGCAATGTCGCGAATTTTGTATTTTATGTACACCGGACAAATTCGAGTAACCGAAGTAACTGTTTGCCAACTGCTGCCTGCAGCGACCATGTTCCAAGTGCCAAATGTAATTGATGCATGCTGTGCCTTCTTAGAAAGACAATTGGACCCAACAAACGCTATCGGCATTGCAAACTTTGCGGAACAGCACGGGTGTGTGGAGCTTCAAAAGAAAGCCAACATATTTATTGAAAGGAACTTCACTCAGGTGAGTAATACCACTGTCAATAGTGTTAGAGTAAAGAATATTGAGTACTGAACAACATTTCCCCAATAACATGGCTTGTTTGACCTAGGTCTGTCAAGAGGAGGAATTTCTACAGCTTTCGGCATATCAACTCATTGCCCTCATTCGAAGAGACGAGTTAAACGTGCAGGAGGAACGCGAGGTTTACAATGCTGTTCTTAAGTGGGTAAAGTACGACGAAGACAATCGGCACTGCAAGATGGAACACATATTGGGAGCCGTCCGATGCCAGTTCCTAACGCCCAACTTCCTCAAGGAGCAAATGAAGAATTGCGATGTGCTACGCAAAGTCCCGGCGTGTCGCGAGTATCTTGCAAAGATCTTCAAAGACCTAACGCTGCACAAGTGCCCTGGAGTAAAGGAGCGTACACCGAACACGACGCGTATGATATTCGTCGCGGGCGGTTTCTTTCGACACTCTCTGGACATACTGGAGGCTTATAATGTGGACGACAAGACGTGGACTACATTGCCGAACTTGCGGATTCCACGATCCGGCCTTGGCGCAGCATTTCTTAAGGGAAAGTTCTATGCAGTCGGTGGCCGAAACAACAACATGTGCTCATCCTACGACTCCGACTGGGTAGATCGTTATAGTGCCATCAGCGAGACTTGGCGTCCGTGCTCGCCAATGTCCGTACCGCGTCATCGTGTGGGTGTAGCAGTTATGGACGAGCTGATGTATGCTGTGGGGGGCTCCGCAGGCATGGAGTATCATAACACAGTGGAATAGTGCGTATAAAATGATGATGTTCAATACCAGATTATGCTTAGCCAAAGTCTTAATTATTTGCAGCTATGACCCAGACCTCGATCGATGGACGCTTGTTCAGCCAATGCATTCGAAACGGTTGGGTGTGGGCGTAGTAGTAGTCAATCGCCTGCTTTATGCGATCGGCGGTTTCGATGGTAACGAGCGATTGACCAGTGTTGAATGTTATCATCCGGAAAACAACGAATGGAGTTTCTTGCCGCCTCTGCAAACCGGTCGCAGTGGAGCGGGTAAATTGAACGATTCTATTTATAATCTGTATTTCTGTTATGATCGGCTCTGTGTTTTTAGGTGTGGCTGCTATTAATCAGTTCATTTACGTAGTTGGTGGCTTTGATGGTACTCGGCAATTGGCCACCGTAGAACGCTATGATACCGAAAATGAGACCTGGGATATGGTTGCACCCATACAAATTGCCCGCAGTGCACTATCCCTAACACCTCTCGATGGAAAACTGTACGCTATTGGTGGTTTCGATGGCAATAACTTTTTATCCATCGTTGAGGTATACGATCCTCGCACAAACACGTGGGTAAAGGGTACGCCGCTGAAGTCGGGTCGGTCTGGTCACGCGTCGGCTGTTATTTATCAACCTGCATGTGCCAATTCATTTATGGACTACGAGGAAAGCGAGACGCCAAGGCGGGATGGCAGTAACGACGACACGGAAAGGGACTTATCACGAGATCCATGCGGAAGTCAAAGTCCGCACTTTGCAGAGAACACACCCATGCAATTCCATACGTCATTTGGAATGAGCGGTTGTCACAATTGTGAGTCGGAAATAGAAGTCACAAAAGCCGTCGCTGCAGAAACGCCAGACTATCGAAATTCCGGTATTGACAAACAGGAGCAACGGAAACCAATATTCTGGGGACCAATAAAACAGTGTAAATCTCGGGGAAAGTCACCGGCGCCTTGGCCAGACCCTGGAGGTACGACAACAACATCCTCGCCCATTAAGGATGATAAAACGAGAACGAGATGTATACTCAGTCCAGTACGTACAGCAGCGAAAGCTTTACACAACACAATTGAAGGGCGACTTCGTAAGCTCGCAGCAGCCACATGACAATGAGAATCCGAACCGCATAGCCAAAACCAAAATCAATATTCATTGTACAAAGATAATTTTGTATCACTTAGAATTCCATTTTGAAAAGCATTCCATTGAAACATTGAGTATGCGCGGATTCAGGTATGGTATGTAGTTTTTTGCATATTAATGAGTGCACAAGACTATTCACACATATGTTCGCTAAGTGATATTTATGTTTTATGGCATCCATAACATTAACGGCGTATGGCAGCCCATTGTTTTAAGATTGATTAGGATTTTTAACTAAGCTATAATACCGTATTTTATACATTTGTATGTTTAATGGCCTAGTTTAATTTTACATATATGTACATATGTATGTACAAGTTACGAAAAAAAAAACATCCTCCCATTACAATTAATAGACAAGGTTAACAATGTACATTTAATAAAAAAGCACTCCACAATGAAATGGAGTTTGAAACCATGGTACCGCATGGCACAATGCATTCATTAATTATATCTTGTTATGGATTTTTAGACATTTTAAGTTTATTTCGTGTGCATACATAAGCTTTTAGCGGCTTTAAGTTATAGGCTTCTTTGCTTTCGAGGTCGCGGTGGATTCCATGAAACTGGTGTGTTATCGGTAATAGATACTATATTTAATCCACCCATTTGCAGCCCTTTAATAGCCGACTGCAATCATAAAGCAATAATTTATTTGATTATGTATGATAGGTGGAATGTGCAAGCCTACCATTCGTCCAGGTCCGAGGCCACGAACCTTCACTCGAATCGTTTTCCAACCCAATTCAATTGCTTTCTGCAATCAAAAATGTAGTAAAATACATACATGTAAGTTTGTAGAAATGTATATCTAGCTAAGAATATGCCACACAACTCACTGCGCTTATGCTTACGGCCGTCGCTTGTGCCGCAATGTTCGTCCCCTTCCTGGTATTTTTAAATCCTTCTATACCGCAAGAACGTATTAGCCTAGGTACACCTAAAATACGAATTATATCATTTATAATTATATATATCTATTAAATCATGCCTTTGTAGTCCGTCACTGATATTATTGTGTTGTTTGGAGAAACGCGGATGTTGCAAACGGGCAGCTCGTTGAAGGGCATTCCATTAAATAGTTGAGTGGCTATGGCTGCATCGGGAAAGAACTTGGACTTTCTATAAAAACGACCAAATATTATTCAGTTGTTATTTATTTCGAAATGCGTGGCTCGTACCGGTTAATAAGTGTATCAATATCCACAGACTTTTCGCCAACAGTTCCCTCGTCCTTAGCGGGCAGCGACGCCAACATTTCCTTGCGGTCTTCTGCCTTTCTGGAGCACACGCTTGTGTGAATGCTTGAAGTACTTAATGGCATTTGTACGGGCAAATTAACTCGCTTAGCATAGCGAACGGCATTTAAAATCGCTTTAATATACATTTTTATAAAATCTCAACAAACATATGTTCTCAGTTACGTCATTTCCAGTGTGACCAGTTCAACACGGAATTATCGACACTGTCGATAAAAATGCTGGAAAACTAGAAAGAAATATTTTGTTGTCGATGTATATTGTGAGTGGCAAAATCATAACACGTGCTGGAAACCAATCTAAGTTGTAGTTAATTGTTAATGAAATGGCTCTAAAACGATTGAAGAGTAAGTAATTTGCTATTCGTAAAGATTAAAGATCATCTCATGATCTGTGGTATTGCAGCTAAAAAATCAAAGCGATTGACTGGTCGTCTTAAGCACAAAATCGATAAAAAGGTACGCGAGCACAACAGGAAGGAGCGTCGCGATGCAAAGAAAAATCCAAAAAAAGGCAGCAAAAAACAGAAGCTCATTCAGATACCGAATATCTGCCCATTTAAGGATGACATACTGAAGGAAGTTGAGGAGGCCAAACAACGGCAAGAAGCCGAACGGCAAGCGCGCCGCGATGCTTTCAAATTAGAACGAGAGCAAAATAAATTCAAGTCCCTGGAATCTATGGTAGAAGATGCAGACATGCGGAGCACAGTCCATGGAGCTATGCACGAAGACGGTTCGGTCGATGACAATCAGAAAAAGTATAAGAATGCAGTCACAAAGGAGCAGTCTCTGAAGCAATATTTTAAAGAATTCCGTAAGGTCATTGAAAATGCCGACGTTGTCCTGGAAGTAGTGGATGCTCGTGATCCCCTCGGAACGCGCTGCACCGAAGTAGAACGCGCCGTTCGAGGAGCCCCTGGCAACAAACGCCTTGTACTTATACTAAACAAGGCGGATCTAGTGCCTAGGGAAAATCTAGATAACTGGATTAAGTACTTCAGGCGTGTAGGTCCAGTGACTGCGTTTAAAGCTTCTACACAAGATCAGGCGTCACGTTTAGGTCGCCGAAAACTTCACGACATGAAATCCGCTAAAGCCATGCAGGGATCGGTGTGCATTGGAGCTGAGCTACTAATGTCGATGCTGGGCAATTACTGCCGAAACAAAGGCATCAAGACATCGATACGAGTGGGAGTTGTTGGAATCCCAAATGTGGGAAAGAGCTCAATAATCAATTCGCTGACCCGAGGAAGATCGTGCATGGTGGGCAGTACCCCAGGTGTGACTAAGTAAGTCTCCTGTCTAATTATTATTTGTATTCAATTTAATTTACATTGGTCTTCGAAAACTAAAGGGCCATGCAGGAAGTAGAACTTGATTCAAAGATCAAACTAATCGATTGTCCGGGGATTGTATTTACGAGCGGAGCTGAAAGTTCACATGCAGTGCTCAAGAACGCCCAGCGCGTGGGCGATGTAAAAGATCCATTCACAATTGCGGAAAGCGTTTTAAGACGAGCCAGCAAAGAGTATTTCTGCTCTATGTATGATATTACAAGCTACGACACCTTTGAAGAATTCTTTGCAAAGAAGGCTGCTAGAATGGGTGAGTGCGTTGAATTTGTAGCCTATTGCTAACTAACTGTCCCCTCCTTAGGAAAATTCTTAAAAAAAGGAGTGCCTGATGTTGTGGCAGCTGCGCGCAGCGTGCTCAATGACTGGAACACTGGCAAAATAAAATATTGCACACAACCTCCCGAAGTAGTCGAGCCGCAAAGTGTCCACATTAGTGCCTCGATAGTACACGCCGAGGCCCGCGAGTTTGATGTTGATAACTTTGAGTCCATGGAGACAGATATACTAGAGCAATGCACTGTAAAAACAGATGAAGCTATGGAGATCGCATGCACAGGTTCTCTGGAGATTAGGAAACCTCGCGAAGAAGATGATACGGCGACTAATATTTCACCAAATCTAGTTATCAACGAGAAGGACAAGTCGTTGAGAACTCGTAAAAGAAAATTGGGTGATGAAAAAGAAAAACCAGACCCCGTACTGCTTTTAGAAGGTAATTATTATCTTACCACCACTTATAGTAACTTTAAAATATTAATTTTGTATATAAAATCTTGTTTTCAGAAAATCAATCGCTCAACAAATCTATAAAAGAAGTGCAAAAACGAAAGAAGAAGCAGAATGTGCGTAATGAGAAGAAAATTTCAAAAATTACAGATGTTCTGGATAACTTCAGCCTGGGTTCGGGTTCATCTACTTCAAAAGCAGATAAATATGATTTCGATAAGGATTATGTAATTGAATAAATTATCTGCACTATCCGATATAATAAATCAGACTATGATCTGGGTGACATTTTATTCCTCCAGTGCACTGACTTTCACTGAAAATGATTTCTTACACTCCATCGTTTTCAAAACAAATAAGGCAAGTTTTTCATTGAAAAACCGTCGAGTTTTTTAAATAAATTGAAGTTGCAATATGTTATGTTAAAACTTAACAGTATAACTGCTGTGATTATATATTTGATCATATTTATATCTATAGTACATCTGTCTCATTCCAATTTGAAGGAAAGTGGAAAAATCAGCTGTTATTTTACTTTTTCTATTATACAATTTGTTAGACTCGTGTCTTAAACTATTTACATTTAAATGAAGACCATTGTTTTGAAGTTACTGGTTCTTTGAAACAATGAAATGTTTAAATCAAACTATGATAATAATTATCAGGAGTGGCAGGCATTTCTAGAGTCTAATTGACTGCCATATGGTTCGGTTCGGTAGATTTACACAGATAAAATACTAAACCTAGCGCACGGATTTTTTTTAATGCCACACCCAATGCTCATATTTGCATTTCTGAGATCTAGAAATGCAACTGAAACTGGCGACATTTAAACAAAAATAGACGAATAGATCAAATCCCAAACTGAAATTTTTGTATGCCCAATTTGATATAAAATTGGTCGGATGATTGTGATAAACACTAGGATGCCTCTCCACCATATCCATCTTTATCTTTGCAAGCAAATCTCTCTAATCATTTTTCGAAATTCGTCGGATCGGACCTCTATTTGTATACATATATGTAGCTGGCAAAGAACAATTTATCAAAAAACAAGTCTTCTTTGTTTATATAGAATCGCATCAAGCGTTCACGTTTCCATTTTTCCGTAACAGCCTGATAGCCTGTTTGAAAGGTTCCGATTTACTTTCGTTGAAATTTAAGGGTATATAAACTTCGACGTGACGAGGTGGTGAAGTGTGCCTTTGTCGGGGAGCTATGAAAAATAAAAACCGTCAAAATATCAACATAAAAAAATAAAAATGTTTGAACTTGACGTTTGCTAGCTCCAAAGCAATTCTATCCGTATGCGCCAAAATTTGGGATTACTAACTAATGTGTAACGTAATAAGCATATGCACGTTTGTGTAAACATTTCTACTGAACCTTTTTATATTTGAATAATGATTGATCTCATTTGATTGGGATAGATTGGGGTTCAATGTGGGTATATACATTTGGTGCTCAGGATCGGATCCATATTCATATTTAGTTAAATTTAATGGGCGCAAATATCGTACACGTGTATACATGCATGTCTATATAATTTAAATATTTATATATGTATGCCACATCTACTCGCATAGTCCTACCTATGCGTCTGTACATACTATGTGTGTATATTTAGAGTGAATCACAGTATTTAAATTTTAGCTATATATGTTTAACAATCATTACTAGATATTTACTTAAATTCAAGCTCCCGCACATCTCCTCCCTTAATGCGAATCTAATGATGAATAGCTTAATTTCAATGTGCCTATTTGTAGTTAATTGAAACATTAAGTAAGTAGCTATTTATGTAAACATTTTAAATGATTTCTTTGCAGTCCTTTGTGGTTCCAAATTATTGGTTGTTTGATGGCTTATCGGCAGCTCGGTATACGCAGTTCCAAGCTCTTTGTTCCCGTGGTTGGATCTGTAACCAACCAAACTTTACTACACAGAGTGGTCAACAACTTTTGCACTTTGCGCAGCAGTTGGCGCGAGCGTTGGAAGTCTCTCTCTCTCCGCCAGAAACTCTGTTGGTCAGAGCAAAGAGGCGAGGGCGCTGCTGGTGAAATTACTGCCGTAAGGGCCAGCAGCAAGTATTGTCACCGCAGGTGGCTGAAATGCACCTCCAGCCAGCAGGGACAGCCCATAATATCCTGCCGTTTGTATGTATGACCCCAGCCCTTGACGAAACTTATTTTCATGCTAAACCGGTCGATAGGTCCCAATGGATGATTATGAGACCGTTTTGTGATTAACAGTTGAGCCCTATAATAAAAAAGATTTAGAACTTCGTTTATCTAGATGATGGCATCCAATTTATTCGAACCTGTTAGTTTCGAAGGCCTTCAGACAATATCCAGGCATTACTTTGCAGACACGGTCCAGATGTTCGGCTAGTGTCGGAGAGTCTACAAAGATTGGCACGTTGCCTCGATTGTAAATCCAAACATCGCCGCTTTCAAGGCTCAATGTAACTCCTGAAATGTAAGTAGAAACATTTTCATTTGAAGAGTCGACGTACAACTATTTCTAATTTCTAATTTTTTACCTAGCCCGACTTTTTGTCGTGTATTTTGGACAGCGTCAGAGTGAGGTCCCCTGCCCACGGCAGTTAGCTCGCGAAGGCACATGCTATCTCCACCACTGTCCACAACCCCATCTGTGTAGATATTGACAGTTGTCTTTCTAGCGTGAAAGAACTCTCCAACGCGATGGGACAGCTCCCAATAGGCAATTTGGCACCAGCCCTTGGTGTTGACTGTGTCACCTGAAAAATAAGAGAGACAGCAATTAAATTAAATTTATTTCATTATCGAAGTGGTCTGAATTTCTACAAATTTTACATTTTTGCCACGGTAAATAAAATTATGCACGGTTTTGGTTTTTTGGGAGCCTGTGTAAAAGAGACTCTACATTTCGTTTAGACAAAAAAAAAGGGCCTTTGCTAAGATTCGGCTTCAATTTGACACTGAATAGAAACAAATTGATTAGATTGGCGAGAAAACATAGATACATTAACAATATTAGTCGGAAATGCCTTTTATTCATAGAGCTTGGCTGGTACTTAGCTCAATCGAAAATAGGGCTGTCTTACCCTAGTTTCGCACTTGTTCGGAACATACTATTATTTATACAGATGCATAAATTCAAAGGACCAATAACTGATCAAATAGAAAGCCCCGATCTGCAAAGGTAGCCATAGGGTCGGCGCACTGTACTGATATTCTCCGAGAAAGAGTACAATACCCTCGGCAACGGTATAATAATGGTTTAGATTTTGTTTATTTCTATTTTTAACTAGCATGTCAAAACCAAATCGTCGTAAAACCGCAACTTAACGGTCCATTTAAGTGTAATAGTTTTCCGTCATTTTGTCGCCAGTACAAGTACAATACCATACAAAATCAAATACACATTTAACATAACCATACACATGTACATACATACATACATGTTTGTACACACAGACACTGCAATTCTGGCCAGTTTCACTGTTCCATCGTCCGAAGACGTCGTCGGGTGGGCACTGAATGCCATGAAATGAATGATATCATAGCCCCATTGACGTGGATATACAGGGGCGCCAAGTCATTCCCGTGCCCCGCACTTAGATCGTTGTAAGCAGGCGCAAAGATTGTTGTTGGAGGGGTTCGGCGCCATCGGCACCGCCATTACCGCCAACTCACCTCGCTCCGCCGATCAGTCGCATTCGTTGGTGTTTGTTTTTCGCTCATTATTTATTTTCATTTCGCTTTTGCTGTTTTCGCTTAAAAGTTAATATCAATATAGAAAGTGACGACCTGACGCGGCAGCCTGGCGCCACGAACAACTTGTCCTCTGTCGCGACCGGCGTCCCAATCACACGCACGCGAGCGCAGATGTTTCGGGTAATCTCTGTCGGCATGTATTTATGTGTGTGCCTACATACATGCATGCATGCATGCATACATATATACATTGTCGTACATACATATGCGAGCAAACTCACTCTCAAATTTAAATAATCGAAAACGCTCTCTCTCACGCTCTCAAAAAGAAGAGCGCCCCACGATAAGAGCGCCCCGTGCTCTAGTGTCGTAATGGCCAAAAAAAAGTCTCACCTTTTCCTTCAGTAGTAAAAGACTCTATACTTGGGCCAAGAAACTGCGATTCCGATTGCTTGATGGTGCTCGAAAAGCTGTTGCTGTGTACGCTCCACGTGGCCGCTGCTGACTTTTCGTCGTTTTGGGAGTAGTCTCCTTCGTCTGAATCTTAAAGGGCAGGGCGAAACTCTAAATTGTTGTCGACTAAGTCGCTGCTACTCGTACTCACCTGCATCTTTCAGTCGCAATATTTTGTTGGAACGTTGGTATGGCGGAAGTGAGGACTCTGAAATTGTATTAAGACAAGACACAATGCATGTTACTATGGATGTTACTATCTTCATAGCTACATACATATGTACATATGTATGTACATACACGTAACGTAGATAGTGTATATAATGGTTGTATGTATGTGTCTTAAGATTAAGATTATCTTCCCATGGGAACAACAATTTGAGCACTCGTAATATCAAATATACAGGTATGTAGGTTTTATTTACAGCTGCAAGGGGACGAGGAAGAATTCGTTACTAAGAGTACCAGCAATCGATATATCATCCTTATCAACATCTCTCTCTCTCGATACCATAAATAATAAATAGTTAAAGGATCTCCGATAAATATATATTTTACATATGTACATATGTATGTAATTAGGTCTTCCTACAGTCGGAAAAATGCATGTGGCTGAACAAGAATCGCTGTATGTAAATATGTATGTATTTCCGTGGATATTTCAACCGAGGCCAAAAAATTAAAAGTCAATAAAAACACATTTCCATATATTTACTTTTGTCCCGATATTATTATTATTTCTAAACTGATTGAAGCTCAGTTAATTTTACCAATTGGCATACATTTTCATTGCCTTTGATCGGAAAACCTATTCAAATGGCAAAAGTTTACTTTTTAGGTATTTGTATAGTCATGTTTTCATTTACTATTTTCTCCTATAAGAAAAATTATTCCTGATAATAGTTGTTCCTCATAGCATCTCTTAAAAGCCACCTAAGTTATTTCTTAAGGGGATATGAAGTGATATAGTAAACTAATTTCTTGTGTAAACACTCGATAGAAAGCTACATTATTCCTCTTTTGAAATAAATTAACTTCTTTGGAATATTTTATGCTGTTCCGTTTCGCAGATTATTCCATTTTACTAGATTAAGCCAAAGCCGACCTCTATTTTGCGTACGCTCGCGACCACATGTTTA